AGCTTTTCACCACAGCCAAGTATCCGGTTGACTAGAAAGTTTAAGCCATTACCATGGGCTCTTTCCTTCTAGCCTGAGAAAGTTTCTGCTTTGAGAGTCAGTGAACTTTCTTCCCACCTTGTATAACATCCTTGGATCAGGAGGCAGTGAGGGTAATTGGAAACTCCATGCACATACAGCCAGTGTCCTTATAGTGTCCTTAATTTGGATAGCATTACCTTGAGCTGGGCAAGACATAGATAAAGAGTCTATTCTAAAAGCAAATGGGCGCCCCAGGAAGATATGTTCCATTTCTCAGCACTATGCTGACGATCAGCTGAGCAAGAGCAACCTTCCAGAAACGTACAGAACAGCAGCGGAGATCAAGGCTCACTGTAGACACTTCACTGAAATACATATAATCTGTGATTTCAATAGCAAGTTTGAGCTTACGGCCTCAAGCACAGCCCTACCCCTGCTGTTTTGTCAGCGGGGTATCCCTTGGAGTACAAAGAAACCATAAGGTATCTAGGGTCACTACTGAGAAAGAACAATTTCTGGTAACACAGAACACAGCATATAGCTTGAAAATTCACACTGAGAGAAGGTAACTGCAACATGGCATGATACATCTTGTAAGAAAAGTAACATAATACTTGTTCTTCACTTGCTTTCAAGAAGTGCGTTGGTCTCTGACACTCTGTTTTGGTGGTTAATAGGCCAAGGTTGTAGATAAGACTCTTCTAGAAGCCACAGCATCCAAGCTGGTGTCCTTGGACGCATCTATGTGGGTGAAGTGAGAGTAGCCCAATGGCTCCAGAGGCCGGATTACAGCAGTCAAGCAGAGAGAACTACCAGATCTCAGGCCCTATTGAACTCAGAACTGCTCTGCTGCAGAACTGCTCCTTGCTCCTTCCCTCCCACCCCCGTTGAAGCAAAAAAACAAACAAACACACACACACCCTACACTTTTTCCTCTTGTTTTGGGCCATGCAGATAACTGACTACACCTGCATTGCTGTAAAAGGAACAGAGTGTCTTGAGAAGATGCTGCTGAAGATTTAAAAAGGCACATTTGTAAATACGCTGACCAAGGAGACAACAAAGCGCTGTAGGCCAGCAGAAAGAAGACAGCCAAAAAGATTTAGCTACTTTGAAGGCAAGTTTTGTCCATACTGTGCATTGTAGGAGATCTCAAACAACAACTCACTTCTACTAAATAAAATCTGAGTCACCAACAAAGTTGGTTGCTCATTAATGCAGTTTATTCCACCCGCTCCCCCAAAGTCCTCAAGTACAGGCAAAATAACTTCAGAAAAAGAAAGAGACATCTACTTTAGTTTAGTGGTATATGAACTTTACTGTGGTATATAAGGAACTTTACTACTCTGTATACTGCTTACTGTGATGGACATCATCATTTACTGCTGCTTATTTAAAAAGCAAGCAAACAAAAAACCCCCAAACCTCTACTCCGGCAGGCTTACGAAATGGTAGGATAGTTTGTAGAGAGACTGCTTATAACCACATCAGAATTCCCAAATGAAGAATAAGCAGATAACACTTCTGTTTTGCAGTAAAAGTGAAGTCTAGACAAGAGTATTTTTCACCATGTTTACCCTGCGTGTAGCAGAGAAAACATTAAAAATTTAGCTTTCCCCAGTAAAAAGAGAACAGCTATCAATAGAGTTGGTCTGTATTACAGAAAGTTGTTTTTGCATGATGAGTACAAGACAAGATCCTCAGGCTTCTATATGACTTTTGTCCATCTGTTCCAATGGGTAATGTGTGTGTATGTATACATACATACATATACACACATGTCTATTTTCATTTCAAAACGTACAAGGCAGAATCACATGCCGTTAAGCAGCTGCTAAACTGCAAGACTACTGCTGAGATAAATTTGACAAGCAGGAGAGAAGTTTGCCTAATAAGCACAGGTAAGCAAATAAAAAAAAATTCACCCAGACTTCAGGTTATTCCCCTCTTGAGAATTCTTGGAATTCAGAAGAGGAAAAAAAGATACCTTTTGGTCCCCCAAAAGGATTAGTTATTTTCCATTATTCATTCCAGGTATTATACTAATCCTCCAGGCCCAATCAAGCAATTCTAGCTTGACAGCCCATGGGAATTTTGCCAGCCTAAAGATTACTACTACATCCTCTTGTTTGTATTTCACATATACCTACTCCCAACAAAAGCACTAATTCAGAATGAGAGATCCAATACACACACCCTAGCTGTTTACAGATTTCTAGTTAGCTTAGCAAGAACAGGCCTTGTCCGAAATCATTGAGAGACTGTTAATAGTCATGGCAGCCTAGCATACGAATACAAGTTGAGAATGACATTTTAACCTTTAAATAAAGGCAATCCAGTTATAAGATCTGCAGGTTGATATGTCGTGCTACTGAAAACAGATGAAGGGAATAAAAATCAAAAACTAGCCCCTTCCCTCTTCCCCCGAACTGTAAGCTAAGTCTCCCAAACACTGCCAGTAAGGAGGAATGTGCAGCACACTGGATAATGCAATTCTGCTGCGCAAGTATACAAAGACTGTACCAGAAGTCTTTTGTCTGTGGAACACTCCCTTTTTAATACTCCTCACTGAGGCACGGGGCGTACAGTTCTAGAGCTCCTGTCTAGAGCTATCCACTTTTATCCACTATCAAATCTGAAAACCTTAGCTAAATTAAGGCATTTCAATCCTCAGGTAAAATAAGCCAAATATCTAAAGAGAGAGAAAAGGAAAATCCAAGACACCAGCAATATACATGATGACTGCAATTACACAGAATCATTTATGAAACACTGAAATGATCTTAGCAGGAGATCACACTCCGAACTCCAGAGAAAGGCAGAATCTGACAGGGGAAATTCCTTCTTTACCTCTTTTGTGGAGGATTCATGTTGCATCAAGCAAGAGATCAGCTAGACATGACGCTTTTTGATGCAAGTACAGGTTCTCACCAATGTGCTCTCCCAGCTTTAGCAGATTGTCTCCACTTCCAAGAACACCTAGCTGCACTGTGCATAGGAAAGCCAGGTTAAAATCTAAAGCCTACACTGGTTACTATTGACTTAACACAGAACTGCAAGTGTTATGAATGCCTCCCAAGTCATCTAAATTTGATCATCAGCTTCCCCCTTCCCCAGGCCAGGAATCTAGCAAAGAACTTAGTTGAAAGTGTATCTTAAAGATTAAGGCTAAACGATGATGTAGCTGGCATCTGCGTGCTTAAACTTTTCCATTGTTTGACTGAACTCTTAGCAGCAGGCTCAAGACTGATGTCCAGCTGAGGTGCCTTTTTTGTTTTATTTTGTAAAAACCTTTGCCAGTATGCGAAAAATAACTGAACTGTTTTCCATTACCAGTGGTTAAGTAGGTATAGTGATCAAGGTACTGCTTTGTTTATTGAGAAGTGCTTAAGAGATTTAACTCAGGCTCATGTCATACAAATACTTTCTAGATCCTTAGTTCCACAACTTCAAGTGTTGGCACCATAAACAGAACACAGATTTCAAGATAGCCACCCTACTTCTTATTGAATAGTCAGCTTTTAACACATCAAGGATCACATTAGCGCCTGTTAGCTACAGCAATGGACAGAAAACTTCTGCTGAAATTGTTATCCATAACACTCTTT